TGTGTTGCTCTTCTCTGCACTCTTTCTAGAGTCTCAACATCTTTTTTACATCCTGTGATCAAAACTGGATGCAGTATTCCAATTTGAGGATATATGTTTAAAATGCAGGAGAACCTAGAAGATGAATCTTTGAGCTATGGACTAATTGATGGGTGAATGTCTATGGGAGTTATTGGAAGTCCAGGCCAAAGCTGCTGAATGTTTTAAAATCAAACAAGCACTTTGAGTTCAGCATGGAAGTAAATAAATTAGTAACAAAACAATACAAATGAAATAAAAAAAACCCCAATGTGTTCATGTTTGTACTTTCCTCATCAAGTAAGATTTGGGAGCTGAAGAAGTTTTGCAAGATATTAAACAGTAGTTTGGTCTTGACTGCAATAGAACATGCCTCCATGTTGTCTTTCTTGAAAAAGTTGGCTAACTGGCACATCCAAAAATTATTGTACCTTCATATACAGTAGTATAACTTTGAGATGGAGCTTTCAGTTTCTTTTTTATCCATCTCTGTATCTAAAGTAGAAAATAACAATTTGTGTCATTTCGATAGCTAATGAAGAAAACTTAGCTAACCCCTTAGGTATCTTGGAATAAAGCAGCGAAATCTGAATCCCTGGCCTGACTTTTTGAGTGACTCCCTTTGAAAGGTAGGGCGGAAAAAAGTGATACTGAATCCACATGTTGCATAAGGTTTTTTATTTTTAAATCTGCCCTCTAAAATCACAGACAGGATGTTGATACCCTGTGCTAGTAAACATTCTGCACTATTTAGAAATAGAAAATGAATCAGGGGTTCCGAAAGGTGTGTGATTATATGGAATAGAATGTAAATTAATTCATTTTTGGTACAATTCACCTGGTAACTTTTTGCTCAAGGGTTAAGTTTGCTGATTCATAAAAGCGATCTTCATCTTCAATTTACACTGACAAAAATAGGTTTCTTAGTACAAAGCGTAACTTCATTCAAAATTAAAAACAACAATGTGTGATTGTGGTTAGGAGAGTATTAGACGTTTCTCACGTCTTGTAAATAGAATAGAATAGAATAACAGAGTTGGAAGGGATCTTGAAGGTCATCTAGTCCAACCCCCTGCTCAGGCAGGAAACCCTATACCATTTCGGACAAATGGCTGTCCAGTCTCTTCTTAAAAACTTCCAGTGTTGGTGCATTCACCGCTTCTGGAGGCAGATTGTTCCACTAGTTAATTGTTCTAACTGTCAGGAAGTTTCTCCTTAGTTCTAGATTGCTTCTCTCCTTGATTAGTTTCCATCCATTGCTTCTTGTCCTGCCTTCAGATGCTTTGGAGAATAGCTTGACTCTCTCTTCTTTGTGGGCAACCCCTGAGATATTGGAAGACTGCTATCATGTCATCCTTAGTCCTTCTCTTCATTAAACTAGACATACCCAATTCCAGCAACCGTTCTTCACATATTTTATCCTCCAGTCCCCTGAAAGAAGGATTTGATGAATGAATGATGAATGATTTTTAGAAAAAGGAAAATGGACCCAGTTCGAAGCAGTTCTATCATCTCCTGCTCCTCATATGAAACAGGTATCCTGTCTAACACCTCTGCCTCTTTCTTGATTTGTATCTCCCCCCCCCAAAGCAAAATATATATTATTATCGATATATCTTCATTTGAAATGTCTAATAATTAGTTTATACAATGGGTTGTCCTTTGAAACGATACAGATGACTTACTTACAGCCAGATGCTGACACTATGGAATAGCTTATTTGATCCCTATTGTGCTCTCTTTTTAAAAAGATTTTAAAACTATTTTGATAGGAATTTGAGCATTAGAAGTACAGTTGAACTATCTTTTAATTTGGGGATATTTTTATGGTTGGCTCCGGTTCTTAGTTTAGATGATGGTTTTATTTAGCCGTAGTGGGTGGTTTTGTTTTCATATTCAATATATTATACTGTTGTCAGTCATTTGAAGTCTTCGCAGTATGGCTAAATATTCAAAAGTTTATACTAGTAAATATCTATTTTTAAAGGATCTTGCTGTGTGCTGCTTGAAAGATTCTGTATTTGGTTTTCATGAATTAGAAATTAAAAAAATGAAGATGCTACAACGTTTGTAAGTGTGAACAACGGTCATAAGTCACTTTTTTCAGTGCCGTTGTAAGTTTGAAAGGTCACTCAATGAACTGTTATAAGTCGAGGACTAGTGTGAATGATATTGGAACAAAATTTGGTTTGGGTGTGCTGATAGCAAGCTCCCCCCCCCCAAAAAAAAGGGAACATGTCATTGATGAATGGATGTGAATTGAATACTCAACTGAACGATCAGCCCAAAAAAGAAGCACATTTAGGTGGTTGGGTCATTTGGAGAGAAGTGAAATGCAGGCCAACTCGTACAAAACAAATCTCTGAAGGGAAAGTCAATGGGTTGAGAGGAAGAGGAGGAACAAGAACATTGCAATTAAGGCATTTCATGAAATTGTCAAAAGAGAAAGCAATACATGCAAAGGCTCAAAGGCACTCCGTGAATCAGTGCACGCATGTGGCAGAATCACGCATGTGCCAGAAAGGCATCAAGAAGTATAGTGAACAGTTACGATGTAAATTTCCTTTTCCTTTCGTTTTCCCCTCTTGTTTTACATGTCTTCGTTCTGTATATTTATCAAATTCATCTCTACCTGCTGGTGACCAAAAGGACTGTCAGTGGCTTACATAGGATATAAGTAGAAACAGTTTAAAACATCCACCTTTAAAACTATACACAATGTACTTGCTACTTCTGTCTTTATGTTCTTTGTATAATATTGCTTACAGTGAAAAGAAATGGCATGGAGTGTGTGTGTGTGTGTGTGTGTGTGTGTAATGTATGTATATAATGTGTATGTATATGCATGTGTGTATATGTGTGTGTGTGTGTGTGTGTATTCAGAATTTTGAATTTACAGTATTCACAGTAGTGAGGTCTGCCTGCACAATATGCTCCTAGATTGGTATATTTATATTTGGTATATATTTATATTTGATTTATATTTGGTAGACCGGGTGCTTCACCCAACAGATAAGATATATATGTGTGTGTATATATACACTCAACAGACTTCTCAATAAGACTAGTATAGCTATTTTGGACTCATTTTGTCCTCATCAGCTAGCCACACCCTTTATGGGATTCGAACCTGGGCAGTCTATATGCTAGGCAGTTGTATTAACCACCAGGTCACAGGCTCTCTTCCCCTCTTTGTATATACAGGAAGTTTTTCAGACTGACGGTCTGATTGATTGCACCTTAGGCATTTTGACTGCTATACTGCAGTTCTACTTTTTTATAATCTCTTTTGCCTTGCAGCCCCCCAACTAGGGGCGTTAAGCAGGCTCAAGTCGCTACTGCGATACATTACAATTCAGATTTCTTTTTTGCTGACAAGAGTTAAAGGTTTAAGTGGGAGACTAGTATTGCTATTTTGGACTCATTTTGTCCTCATCAGCTAGCCACACCCTTTATGGGATTCGAATCTGGGCAGTCTACATGCTAGGCAGTTGTATTATACTATACACACACACACACACACACACACATTATTAATTGAGAATTCTGTTGAATGTATACTAATACAAATAGAAGGGACGGGGAAGAGAAAACTTGCAAATAAGTGATTTTTTTGTGTGATGTTGTTAATAAAGTTTGGGTCAAATACTGGCAAAGGTAGAGAATGGAGTAAAAAAAGTTGAGGGATTTGAGAAGCTGCAATTTTGAGGAGAAAATTCAGGAAGACTAAGGGACCGAAACGAGGAAGAATGGGAATGGCGGCATTTGCGATTATATGAAGAAGAAGCAGAGTAGAAAATTTTTTAAAAAGCAGCATCCAGCTTTATCATTTGTCCCTTCTTTTAGGATTAAAAGGCTAGGAAGGATTCAGTGATACCTCTTCTGCCAGACCTAGAGCTTAAGCAGATTTCTGATGAAATATATTACCCCAGGAATAAAATCAGTGCTGGGACCTGTTTCACAAAGTCTCGGTGGAGAACAGGAAAGAGTGTGAATCTTGACTTGGCTTGACATGGATTTGAATTCGCCTCAACCTTTTTTTTTTTTTTTTGCCAGTTTTTAACATGATACGGAATGAGAAACAATGCAGCGGATAGAATAAACTCAAAAGACTCAACCAGAGCACAACTCACAAAAGTTACCGCGTATATGGATCCTGGAAGGATGTGTTGCAACTGAATATTTTGAATTTTAAAATTACCCTTTTCTGAACTTTCAAGATAGAATGAGAATCCTTCCAGTCCCGTTTTGACACCAGTTCGGTTCGGAGTCAGGCATTTAAAATACTTGTGTTAGGCCTGGGATAGTCAAACTGAGATAATAGATAATAGATATCTATTAACTCAATTTCATTGAGGGCCACATCAGCATTGCGGTTGCCCTCGGGCTGGGTGGGTGCGTCCTACTGGGTGGGCGTGGATGGAGTGGGTGTGGCCTACTGGGTGGGCATGGCCAGCTCTACATCGTTCGCGTCAAGGGTGCCTGTGGGGGCCTGGGCAGGAGTGGGACAGATCTGGGGGTCTCTGGCAGAAGGGGGTGGGATCGGGGCAAGCGCCAAGGCATGGTCCATTTCTTCATTCCTCACAAAGGGTGACACCTCCCCAGCATGCACCCAGGCGGCAGGGCGACGTGGCAGGGGCTGGTTCCTCGCTGATTCCAGACGGCCTTGTGGAGCTAAGACTGAATGTGTTTCAGCATAGATGGCCACCACAAAATTGTACATTGGCTCCCGGCCGGCCTGGGCCAGGGCCAAGGCAGCGGGGGCCGTTCCTTCACTGTTTCCAGGATGGCTTCGCGGGCCACATGAAACCACTTCGCGGGCCGCATCCGGCCCCCGGGCCTTGTGTTTGACATGTCTGTAATAGACTATTAAAATTAGGTGTGCTGAGTACCTCTGTCATAGTGTTTTGCTTCCATCACTTCCGCTTGAAAGTGTAAAAGAATTAAGAATTGTTTGTGTCTGTTTTTTTTTTATCTTTTAGATTTTTGCCATTTACTGAGCCCGCCCTGTTTCACCGAGGAAGATAAATACAGTCTGGAAGCTCTCTGTACAATTCATAAACAGATGGATGATGACAAAGATGGTGGCATTGAAGTAGAGGAAAGCGATGAGGTTGGTATGGACATATGTTAGTTTTAGTGTTACGTGTTCCCATGTAAATGTACAGCTGCGCTATTTCACATAATCCTGGCAGACGAATTAGAAGGGGGAAAAAAAACACACCCTTCACTTGGCGTTTTGGCGCATTCCCCAAGAATGTAGACGACAGATTTAAGATAAGTCTTGAGATTAATTTGGATAGCAGTGCATAGATATTTCTGCTAAAAGTGTAGCTTTGTATACCGAAAGACAGACGGTGTATGCCGTTGGAATCCGAATGGTCAAGTTAAAACCAGCCGTGATTTTATTCTCTGCACATGTACAGGAACAGGGGAAAAGCAAGGCTGTGGTACATGGGGTTTTTATGCTATTCTGCAGCATTTACTGTTCTTAGCAGATCTGCCTCTCCATAGTGGAGAAGGACTGTATCAGTCACACTAATTGAATCAGGGACCCTCAAATGTTTTTCGTGCTTTGTGTGTTTACGTGTATTTTCTGTTTTCTTGGTGTTTCTGCTGCTAGCTTTTTAAAACTCCTGTTTAAACAAATGGCTTACTATGAAAGCTATTTTTCTTCAAACATTGGTTCAGTTTAAAGATGGGGAAAGTTTAAAAAGTGGCAAGGCAGAAAAACGAATAGTCTGACTCATCTTGAGTGGTCTTTTGGTGCTATTAATGGGGTATTAGTAGCCTAGTTCAAATAGCAACTCCAACTTTTCTCCCTCCCCCTGTGCTCCTCGTCTATCATCACCACAGGGAAATTAATAATACGGTAAAATGTAGACTGCACCAAGATAGGAACAGGACACAGACATGTGAGAAAACGTGTGTTTTGGTTTGCGCTCCTCTCATGCAGAAGTGGGAATTTTTAACAATTCCTATTTAGATGTCCTCACAGAATGAGTGTCATCAAGTTGGGTGAGGTGACCCTGATGTAAAGCTGCACCGTGAAGAGCTTTCTAAGGGATAATAATCAGCATTTTGAATTGGACCCCGCAGTTGTGTGGCCACTGTATTCTCTTAACAGCTGTAGCATCTGCACATTGCAAAAGTCCAGACCTATGGTGGGAAAACTACTTGGTATTTCCACAACAGAAGATCCTGCCATATTTGCCACAACTGACAGACTGTCACTTTGTGGTTACCCGCAGTGAAGTGTTTTCCTTGGCTGCTTCTGTTTTTCTGAAGTATTTTTCCTGCTTAAATGTGTGAAGTACCTATTGTCACATCAATCTCCCCTGTGTTAACCTTCTATAGGTAAATATTATTGATGGATATATTTCATTGCCTTTTTTCCTTCCTGTTTTTCATATGCACATTTTCATATTTTTTTTCCTTTTACTGTAGTTTCTCAATCTATTTTAATAGCATTTTTATTTGTAAACTATCTTGAGGTGTGGCTACATAGGAATCGTAATATAGTAGAACTACTGTCAATACATAATAATAATAATAATAATAATAATAATAATTATAATTATATTATTTATATTATATTATTATAATAGGCGCCTTGGGTGCAATCCCAAAACAACTGGAGCACCACTTGAACACCATCGGCATTGACAAATTCGCCATTAGTCAATTGCAAAAGGCAGCCTTACTAGGAACTGCTTCCATCCTGCGACGATATCTGTAATACCATCAAACATGCACATCTGCCTATCCCAGGTCCTTGGTAAGGACTCGATAGGTAGACAAAATGACAAATCCAGTCTGAGCATCTGGCTGACTGTGCGATGATCCATAATAATAATAATAATAATAATAATAATAATAATAATAATAATAATAGTAGTAGTAGTAGTAGTAGTAGTAGTAGTAGTAGTAGTAGTAGTAGTAGTAGTAGTAAAGTTGGAAGGGACCTTGGAGGTCATCTAGTCCAACCCCCTGCTCAGGCAGGAAACCCTATACCATTTCGGACAAATGATTGTCCAATCTCTTCTTAAAAACTTCCAGTGTTGGAGCATTCACTGCTTCTGGAGGCAGGCTGTTCCACTGGTTAATTGTTCTCACTGTCAGGAAGTTTCTTCTTAGTTCTAGGTTGCTTCTCTCCTTGGTTAGTTTCCATCCGTTGCTTCTTGTCCTGCCTTCAGGTGCCTTGGAGAATAGCTTGACTCCCTCTTCTTTGGGGCAGCCCCTGAGATATTGGAACACGGCTATCATGTCCCCCCTCGTCCTTCTCTTCATTAAACTAGACATACCCAATTCCAGCAGCCGTTCCTTGTATGTTTTAGCCTCCAGTCCCCTAATCATCTTTGTTGCTCTTCTCTGTACTCTTTCTAGAGTCTCAACATCTTTTTTACATCGTGGTGACCAAAACTGGATGCATTATTCCAAGTGTGGCCTTACCAAGGCATTGTAAAGTGGTATTAATACTTCACGTGATCTTGATCAATATTTTTTTTTCTTAAGATGGGAAAGGAAATATTCTATACTGATGGAACCTTTTAGAAAGTGCTCAGTCCGACACTGGAGTTTACCACTGTGCTTTCGATGAAGATAATGATGATTAATTAAATTCACATGTTGTCCAACTCCCAGCAACTCCGGTCTATTGTCGATTGCAAGGAATTCAAATATATTGATGGGCCTGTGATCCTCTCGTCTTCTCTCTTTCTGTATCACCTGCTATTGCAGTATCCTTTTAAGAATTATACAAAGGAAAAGAAAAGTATGTTCTTCGGGGTTTTTTTTTAGTGCGGGATGTACAGTTTTACGTGAGGAAGGAAATTCTGTCCGAAGAAATTAGCCCTTTTTCCAAAACCGGCTTCCTGTTCAGTTAATACATGCCTGAAACAATTAACCTTGTGTTCGGTGTTGATACAGGGAGTGGCTGGCAAAACTCTTAATTACTTTTCAGTAGTCTTAGTCTATTCAGAAAAAAAAAGGGTTGTAACATTACAGAATATAGTGTCTCACTACAAAATAACAATGGTAATCTATTTCCAGGAGGAAGCAGCGTCTTTATCACTGTAATGACATAGAGTCTAGTGCCAAAATACATAGTGCGTAGTAACCTTACGTTTTAGCTAACGGGCACATTTGCAATACGAGGACGCTCCTAGCTTTGAATCAGAGTGATTCAGCTGAATTTGAGAAAGGGAGAACGGCCTGTTCTTGAAAACGTATTTTTTTTCTTCTTCTTCTTCAAAGAACAATTGATGATAACCAGGACGCTTCCAGCTTTTATTGCAGGCATGTCAAACACAAGGCCCAGGGCCCGGATGCGGCCCGCAAAGTGGTTTCACGTGGCCCGCGAAGCCATCCTGGAAACAGTGAGGGAATGGCCCCCGCTGCCTTGGCCCTGGCCCAGGCCGGTCGGGAGCCAATGTACAATTTTGTGGTGGCCATCTATACTGAAACACATTCAGTCTTAGCTCCATAGGTTCCCCCCCCCACATGGCCTGAGAGGAACAGTGAGGCTCCTCCAGTGGACCATGCCTTGGCGCTTGCCCCGGTCCCACCCCGTTCTGCCAGAGACCCTCAGATCTGTCCCACTCCTGCCCAGGCCCCCACAGGCACCCTTGACGGGAACGATATAGAGCTGGCCACACCCACCCAGTAGGCCACACCCACTCCATTCACGCCCACCCCGTTGGCCGCACCCACCCTGGCCACACCCACCCGGCCCCCTGAGGGCAACCGCAATGCTGATGCGGCCCTCAGTGAAATTGAGTTTGACACCCCTGTTTTATTGGAATGGATTGAATGGAAGGAAGAACAATCAATGGGTAGCTAATCGGAGGATAGCAATTGTTGTAGGGACAGCTGGGCAAGTTAGCTGGGCTCTGGAAGGGTCTGCAGCATCCTCTCTCTTTCTGAGAGTAAAGCATGTGGATGATCTGAATTAGAAATCTAGTAATGGAGAGGGGGGAAAAAAGGAAGAAGCAGACTTCCTAGAATCATTGAGGTTAAATTGAATACAGAATAACAGAGTTGGAAGGGACCTTGGAGGTCTTCTAGTCCAACCCCTTGCTTAAACAGGAGACCTTATATCAGGGGGTAGGCAACCTCGGCTCTTTTATGACTCGTGGACTTCAACTCCCAGAATTCCTGAGCCAGCCATGCTGAGGGGAAAGAGAGAGGTTTCCAAGCTGAGCCAGGGCTGGCTGAGGAATTCTGGGAGTTGAAGTCCAGGAGTCATAAAAGAGCCAAGGTTGCCTACCCCTGCCTTAAACCATTCCCGACAAATGGTTGTCCACTTCAGTCCCTTCTTAAAAACCTCCAACGGTGGAGACCCACAACTTCTGAAGGCAAGCTGTTCCACTGGTTGTTTGTTCTTACTGTCAGGAGCCTTTTCTTATTTCTAGGTTGCTTCTCTCCTTGATTAGTTTCCATTTCTTGCTTCTTGTCTTGCCTTCTGGTTCTTTGGAAACTAAGATGACCCCCTCTTCTTTGTGGCAGCCCCTCAAATATTGAAACACTGCTATTGTGTCACCCCTAATCCTTCTTTTCACTAGACTAGACATTCCCAATTCCTGCAACCATTCTTCATATATTTTAGCTTTCAGCCCTCCCCAATCATTTTTGTTGCTCTTCTCTGCACTCTTTCCAAAGTCTCAACATCTCTTTTTATATCGTGGCGACCAAAATTGGATGCAGTATTCCAAGTGTGGTCTTACCAAGGCATTATAAAGCAGTATCAACACTTCACGTGATCTTGATTCTATCTCTCTTAATTTAACGGGATGGAAAAGCAGCAGCAAATTGCTGGCCTATCCCCTTGGTTATCCGAATATCAGCCATTGAGGTTTAAAATCCTGATTTATGTCTTGGGTCCCGTTTTCATTTCCGGTTTGATTTTTTTTCCTATCCCTCCCTCTGTTTGTGTCATCTTCTGAGCTTTCAATCTTGGACAATTTTACTTCACTACCATATGCACTTTCTGCTACCTGATTGCAAGGCTCTGTTAATGACATTCAGCCTTGGCCCAGGACAGCAAAATGAATTCTATATTTAGGAACCTGAGGTGAAGATTATTAGAGGAAACAGGGGGGATGATGAACCTTC